TAAAAAGACACTCTAAAACATTTACTCTATATTGAAGGTTTTTGGTTACTTACAAATGTTAAAGGTGACAAGCAAGGTGGGCTACGGAGGATTAGCGTCGAGAGCACCTAGGTTTGCTGAGAAGAGGAGAGATTCTCAACCTCATCCGTTCATAGGGACTCCGTTTCACAAGAGGTGTTTCTTGCACGTACCTAAAATACGAGTTGGAAAATACCCCAAACCTGCTCCACCGTTCGGTTCAGCCATTCCTCGGGACACTGATCCACCCGGGCTAGGAGAAGACACCCCTGGGTAGGTGGAGTAGGGTATTTATATTCATTAGGGGTTGATTTTAATGTGAGGCACATCATTTTACTATCCAATCCAAATATAACTCTGCATTAAAATGTTTGGGATCCAATTTACATTTTTTTTCTGAACTTAACAAAATATAATCGGTATTTTCCAATTAATGATCTGAAATTCTAACAATATAATTTACCTCTTGTTTGGCACTAGTATTAAAATATTACCATTGATTATTTTCAAGTTCTAATAAATAATTACATAGCTGAAATTCTAAGTTTAAATTTATGCCATTTCTACTGCCCATTTTTAACATTTTCAGAATGTTATCCATTCTGGAGGAAGAAATAAGAAACTGTACTCTGTGGCATTCTTCAACAATGCTTGATATGTGAAATGACCCAGATTCCTAAAGATATTTCTTAAGAGTTTAGAATGGTTGTGATTTTGTAAAATAAAAAAAGAGTTTAATGCACATGGATGAATTGAAAATGTTCTTTTTAATGAATTAGAAAAGTTTAATCGAGAATGGTAAGTTGACACATTATAAACTTTTCAATTTCATTGACTATTTCGCATGGTAATGAGTATTAAGAAGGTGAAAAATGAAAATTTACTTTAGTCGAACAAAAGAACCTTACTATATCTACTCACCAATCCATCCTATGTAGTAAAGATATGTGTGAATACTTTTATGTATCTGAGTTATTTTATTTCAAACACTGACTATCTACTCATTCTCACCTTATAGTAGAACCTCGCTAATTAAAATTTCAGAGGAAAGACTATATTTTGAATCATGGGAAGTTTGAAATATAGAGAGTTTGAATGATATAGGAGAAGTACCTATAATGGACACACAAATCACAATAGTCATTGATTCAAACCCTACCTTAACCCTTTTAGTGCTATGCAACGATACATCATTGTGAGTCTTTTATCCGAAAGGTACTATGGAACGATATATCGTTGTTCACATTTTTTCAGAATAGTGCTAAGCGACGATATATCGTGCCGGAAAGCGGAAAGACAATCCTGTGAGTTTAAATGGGCATATCGGATGACTCGGTTGTTGTTTCAAAACAGCGATGGTTTCTTTCGATATATACTATCGATCGATACTACTATTCTATAAGTTCCTTAGCACTTTTGAGATAAACAATTTTATTTTTACAGATTTTTTTTCTCGCACAGTAGACTTCACACCCGGCAAGCCTAGCAATTTTTGGACGTAATAAGTAAATAACTCTAGAATTTTTTGGAAAATTACAAATATAAAGGGTTAAGAAACAACTACTTTTTCACAAGATGGAAGAAATTTTGCGAGTTTATCTTTAATTGGAAAGTATTTTTGTTTCCCAAATAATGGTTCAATATAACAGAAAATAAAATTTTTTCTTTTTTGCATACGAGCCAAAGTGTCTTTTCAGCCTATGCTAATTTTCCTCGATGTCTTTTTGAAAAGAATCACTAATCACTCTATGCCCTAGTGATGAAATATAATATTTCCTGGATAAAATCTATGCATATAAAATCAGTGATTCTTTGCAGTATTTTTTTATAAAAAAAAACCAAAACAGCTTATAATGCATGAACACATCTCACAACAATCTTTATATTTTGTAATATTTCTCTGAGATAAAAACAAACCAATGTTATCACTTTTACCTATGCTCTCTTTGAAAATTATATGGACATTACAACAGGGACAAAACCAATTCAGAAGATGAAGTATTGGCTCTTAAATATATCATACTTTATATCTCATTGCCATAATGCACTCTTCCTTTTCCAAAAGTTATTTAATATTTACCGCCTCCTAACGTTTACGTAAAATAAAGAGAGACCTAATTCTATATGTCCAATCTGCTATACTACTGAATGAACACGATCAAATTCGCCTTTTTGCTTCCATTCTCATGTTCCAGATTCTACTACGACATAGCCAGAGCGGAGAGAGTGAGGGAGATGCAGTTTGATCACTCGTTCGGAGGTCGCACTCGTCTAAAGCCCCACGTACTGTGGAAGTGCACCCCCGACAACCCTGACGTATGTAGTATCTGTGAGCTAAAGCCACGAGGAGACTACTACTTCAGTGGACACCAATACCTCTGTCGGCCATGCTACAGCCGCGAGTGGAACAGACCACACAACTTCAGCCGTCAACAGCTGGAAGCTTTTCAAGTATTGAATTGAATTGAATTGAAAATGACTTTATTCATAAATCATACAAGTATGTACATTGAATGGCGTCAAAATTCGTAAAACTACTTAAACTTACAACATAATATCAGCTGTACAGTTCATCAAAATTATACAGTACTTTTTGTGTTAAGTATATTTTAAGCTGGGATTTAAATTTTTTACTATCATCAATTTTCCTCAACCCCTCTGGAAGCCCTTCCAAAAATTTTCTTCCAGCACATGACGGGTTTTTGTTATAAAATTCCAATCTATGGGCACCAACAGCAATTTTGTTTCTATACCGGGTGCCATATTCGTGATTATCCCTTAGTTTAGGTAACATACTTTCAGACAAAAGATTTTTAGTTAAAAGAACGGTATGGAAAACATAAATGCCGTACACAGTCATTATACCCATGGCTAAGAAATGATCACGTACGGAAACATCCCAGTTTAAATTCAACATTAGTCTTATTGCTCTTTTCTGCAAAATTAAAATTCTGTCCAAATTTTTCTTTGATGTTCCACCATAAACACTTATGCCAAATGATATTGCGGATTCAATGAAAGCAAAATGAATCTTTTTCAAAATATCTGCTGAACAAAATTTAGACATTCTATAAATTGCATAAATTCCAGATGTGATTTTGCTGACAACATGGTCAACATGGGAGTTCCATGAAAGATTTTCATCAACTACTAAGCCCAAAAATTTAGTTGTAGTAAATTGATTAACTACAAGGGTAGGGTATGTTAAAAAGCTTAAAATGGAAACACTTTAAGTGCATTTAAAAATTATTCCATTTACTTTTTTGCTGCAAAATGAATTCAATAGGATTAAATTTTTCATGAAAGAGCTTTGGTTCTAAAATATCTTTTATCGGTACAAAATTTTTTCTTAAACATTTTTTCTAAAAAATGGATTTTAAAATAATTTTTGAAAATTTTTAATTTATTTTAGAGATACTGTAGTCTGTTTATTAATAATGATTAAAACGTTGGAGTGACTATGAGCAGGGTTTAGATTTTTAATCAAATGGTTTGGTTATTGACAATAACAATATGGGTAAATTCTTTAAGAATTTTAAATTATATAAATTTAGATTACCAGGCAAGCACTTTAACATCAGCTAGTCTTAATTTGTTTCATTGTAAACACTGTTTTGAAACGTAAGAAAGAAAAGTTAAAAGTAAATAAAAATGTTACAGTATTGTTTTCTGTCACACATACAATATCACTCAGAAAAAGTACACACTTCTATTTTGTAAAATCAATTGAATACCAAGTACATAATGGCATACAGAATATACAGAATGGCTTGTCCACGCTGCGTATTCCACATCACAGGACGACTGTTTATATAAAATCTTTTGTGGTAACTACATGCTGCCATTGGAACTCTGTATCTTATCCTTGGAAAACCGATCCTGACTGACAGTGGCGCTGAAAAAAATATTACCTTAACGGGATGGCATGCATTAGGCCTGGGTGCAGCAGAGGGTGTATGTGTGTGTGATTCGATTATTATGTTATTAGACACTGTTTGTTTATTGTAAACTTTGTTGTTTAATTTTGTAAATGTTTATCATTATTGTTAGTGGGGAGCGAGCTGGTTTAGAGGTTAGAGTGCAGGACTTCGGTTCCAGAGGTCCCGGGTTCAAATCCCGCCAATTCACCAATAGATTTTATCCATGTAATAATGCCGCAACCCCTAGGTCTAGCCTGAAGTAATGTGAAAAACAATTCTGGGCTCGTGCCTATAGCGTCCTAGGAAAAAAATATTATTGTTAGTGTTTTAGATGTTAACTTCAAGAAAGGTCCGTGAGGTCCCAAGTTCGCCTCAATAAAGAAGGATTTTCATTTCACTACATTTCATTACATGATTCCATAACTATCCACATTATTTATAGCGGAGTATAATATAACATTTTTCAGAAAATCCGTGATTGTATTGATATTCACAAACATCAAGGCACTACAGCAGCCTACCCACTCATGAGTGACAAAGATATAAGGAGACTTAGACTCCTTGAATGTTACTTCGCATCGTATGAAGGTAAGGAATACCTTAGTAGCGGGGTAGTCGTAAATTTTCAAGTGTGGGACCGCTCACCAAAGTCCTGAAAAATACCGGTTGTTTCAAAATATACAAGTTCTTTGGGAAAAGCAGAGTGGGAATGCCACTAGAGCACTGCACGTTTTAGCACAATAATAAGTTTCGTTGTAGATAAATAACAGAAAAACAACAGAAATAACAAAATCCTAAACAATTGATTCCAACAATGCTATATAGGCCTACTTGTAATAGGAAATAATAAAATAACTGCTAAGTGTAAATTTCAACCCTTTCTAGAGCATGTATTTATGTTCAAAATTAAGCCTTTTCTAGTTTAGTTAAAGTAAAACCACTAGTGTAAGATCTCAGCCAATATCAGTCATTCATTGGAGATCCTCACCCTATAAACTTTACACGACAATAACACCTGAGGAGTAAACGTATGAGACAAGGTTAAGCCACGAGTAAATCCAGTGGATTTAAAAACATTTATTAAAATAAAAATGTGATAAAAAAGTACATATAACATAAAGGTAAATTGACTTGGCGAATAAATACAGCAAGGAGCACCAAAAAAGACGAGAACTGTACATAGGACGGAGACTTCAATACTGGATTCTAATAAAATTTCTAAGCCGTATTTCCAGATGGCTTTTCCTAGAAACAAAGAAAAACTTGGTTAAAAATACCCTTATCTACCTACCTATAAATTTTAGTAAACATGTATTTGAAATGTTATAAAGTTAAATGAGACATCGTGTCTTGTTTAGAATCAGTGACACATTTTGTGCTAAATATAAATTCAATACACATGTTAATGGGCAATTAAATAAAATAGAAGGTATTTATTAACAAGGGAGGAATTTAGACAGAGCAACACTATAGAACCAAAATCCGGGGCAGCAAAATATCATGGCAGCGCAACTAACGCCACTGAGGAGTGTTATAAGTAAAAGTTCAATAGTTGTGAAAGTGTATTAGGGGTGATAAGCAAAGGCAATATTTTAGAGAGTAGTATTTTTTTAATGAAAACAAAATAAAAGTGTTCAAATGTGCAATATTCCTCATCATTTTTCAACTAATGTAGTCAGTTCTATAATATGTTGTTGGCGTTATATGGATTTAAAAGCTATACAATTTTTTGGCGAATAGTTTATAAATGGCATCCGACTTTGAAATCAACCCTACAAGGTATCAAACCAGCATCCATCCAAACCCAGATAGATTTCTGTCTGTTTCTGTAACAAATAAAATATTGAATAAATCGTGCTAGACTTTTGATCAAAGACAGTTATTGTAGGCTTTCCCCTGTTCAATATCAATCTAGGGGATTCAAACCATCTACAAATCTAAAGGTTTTTGAACTTTTACCATAACCATTTAGCGTAGAACAACGTTCAATTTACTAAATTGTTTTTTAATAGTTTGGTGTGAAATTGCAAAGTTTTATGTTTTTAAGGTAGCCTAAAATTTTTGAAACCACCTTTTTACCTCATGAAACCCCCCCATAAAACCTTGTTCCCATAGTAATATTATGCTAGTTTGTGAACACATCTGAATAAACGTAGCTTATTACATTTGAACCAAATTTCATTAAATACTCAAGTTATCGTGCTAAGGGACGCATATTATCAATTTGAATGGATGGTGATTTTGGCCTTTGGGAACCTCAAAAAAAAATATGTTCCGGGGCTAGGTCTTACCGTGAGACCTACAGTAATAGCTTATTCCCTATAAAGGAAGTTGGCTTAAAAGAGTTATTTGTTGGAGACCAATAAGTACTCAACAAGTTCAAATCAAATAAATTTAGAAAAATAATAAAGAAACCTGTTGCCTTGTTAAAATTCAATCATGGCTGGTAACTTTATCAACAAAAACTCTGTAAATTAATGAATTTACAAACCACGATTGAGTTTTAACAAGTTTCTGTGTTTGGACAGGAGATTTGAAGATTTATAATCTTAAGTTTAAAATTGTTGTCCTCCCATTGCAAAGGTTAGTTAAAGCTACTAATTTACTACAATAGAACTTGACTGATCCCTTTAAAAACAACAGCTTGAGACCTTAAACAGTTTTTACCTCAGGATGCTCGTTGTCACCAGTGGCTTTACTTATGACGAAGGTTCCTCTCCTCCTCACAGAAGTCTCCATATTGCCACTGTTGCTAGGCGGGTCGGGTGCAACAGATGGATTCCCCCCATCAGGTGTTTCTCTCGGCTGAACTGTGACTTGTGAATAACTTTCAAGTGACTCAAGATCACTAGATGACCGACTGTCTTTGCCACTAAAATCCATCAGCTCGTTAACAGATGTTGATGAAACACTTCCTTCTGAACTACCACATGTGTGTTGTCTAACTGGTATTTTTTGTTTCAAGAACTTCTCTAGGTCTCTTAGGTTGTTGTCAGGTGCTGATCCACTAGTCTGAGCTCTCGATTGGTTCCTATCCTGAAGATCCCTTGAATCAACAGAGATTCCAGACATGAACACTCCGGAGCTGTTTACAGTCGATACTCCGTCTTGACAGTCAGTTTGAGTCACGCCGTCCGCTACTTTTACAGGGGGAGGTTTGCAGGTTAGGAAATGCTGCAACAAAACATTTCCCAACTCCTCACAAACATGACGAGACCCTAGATTTTCATTCTGAGGTGACCGTTGCTCAGTGATGTCATCTGTTTCTGTGCTTGCGTCTTTCATACAGACAGAACTTGTTTCTGATTGCTCTGGTTTATCACTTGTTTCTGTAGATGACTCTTTAGTTTCTGGAGGTAAAGTCTGACTAGTGTTATCTGTGATTTTTATCGACGCCGGTTGAAAATTTGATATTTGGTGAAGTAATTTGGAAAGTATATCCTCGCCGTTTTGTTGAGTTGATGTATATCCACAATTGTCTCCTGTTTCTGTAGTGGCGTCTAACAAGCAACGGTCTTTTTGGCTGCTATGATTCAAGGAGTGGTTACTTGCAGGCATTTTAACTTGAGAAGCGTTGCTAAGGGGCTCTAAAACAGCTGATCTTGTGTCTCCACCGTAGTACTGCGGTGATGGATTAGAGGAAAGGTTTTCTTTGTTTTCTGTGGATCTAAAAAACGAAAGTTCACTGCTCATGGACCCGACTCTTAAAAATTTTATGAGATTCTCAAGTCCAGCCATTTCATTTCTGAAGTTGTTCTCAAGAGTATTCTTGTAATCGCTAATAATGTCATCGGCTAAGAATGGGTCCTCCCTGAAAAGAGAACAATAACATTTACACATCAAATTAACATCAGAACAATTATGTTTCAAAAGTAACTTAACATTCTATCAATTCCCATTAAAATTCTATTACTTGTGTTGATTCTGTGTCAGGGAGTTACTCAACTTTGTTCTAGAGTGTTGCGCCCATTTAACCTACAAAATAAAAATAAATGCATTTTAAAACAATGTTTTGGTGTTTTAAAAAAAAGTTTAGCCCTACAGAAAAGAATTTACGAACAACTATGGACATAGTGATAAGAAAATAATAGCATGAGTACATCATGAATTGTTTCAACCTAACTGTTCTAATGTTCACTTCCAAAGAGTTTGTACCCTTATCTCATACTAAATGCCTAATACATTTGAGCTGTAGGCCACAAGAGATGATAATAACCTTTCAAGGTAAAGTCAAATGGTTCTTTCAAATTAAGAATTTGGAGCTTATGCAAAGGAATAGTAACAAGCAATTCAGTTGAAGGAAAACAACTATACAATCGAGTACTAACCCTTCAATAGCCTCAGTGTTATCGATTTGGTCATTTATATCATGCGCTTTTTCTTTTTCGGATGATGTGCTCTCTCCTTCATTTAAAAATACTTCGGTTTGGCTTGCAACAAAGGCAGGAACTATCTGTCTTTCATTTTCCAAAATGTTGTCTAAAATCTCTTCTTTTGGTTCCTCAAAATAATCTTCTTCAATATCGAATACTGAACAGTTCTGATATTGTTGCACATCTTCCAAAGGAGTAACAACAACCTAAAACAAAGATGTTTTACTATAATTTTTTGTAAGGTAAAATTATTGTACCGTGGTAAATGTTTTTCACAATAACACTAGAGGACCCATGCTGCTCCGCAGCGTTGAAATAAATAATATCCGAGAAATAATCAAATTTATGATTTTTGATTGAGTAATACAGTATCTTGAACTTAATTAATTCAAACGATCAATAGCTCAAATTCTGAAATTCAATAGCCTATAATTTACTGATTATTTTGAGTCTAAAACATTATAAAAAAACATAAACAATACTGTAGCTACTGATTTTCAATCATAGAAAAAACTTATAAAAAGTAATACTATTAGTTTTTCCACTTGTTATTTTTTTTCTTAAAAGAGGTTTAAGATACGAAATTGAAACATTGCAAAAATATTTATGACAAATAGAAATAGACAAAGCTACAAAAAAATTATGACACTTTTTCAAATTCATGAAACAAAATGGCAGCCATTAAAAACTTGTAAAATTATCGGTTTTTTAATTATTTAACAAAGTTTAAAATCACCACCATTTTGTTTTATGAATTTGAAAAATGGTCATAATTTTTTTGTGGCTCTACCTAGTTGTAAATAAATGTTTACAATGTTTTTAGTTGTTTAAATGTTTACATAAATAAATTAAAGTTTTTGCAAAGTTTCAGTTTTGTATCTTTAACAAGTATTTTTAGAAAAAAATAATAAGTGCTAAAAACGAAATGGCGGCTGTGTGAGTAACTAAGGACTTCTGGACAATTTAAATATAATATTTATTAGATATATTATATTTCTTACTCGGGAACAAAGCCCTAAAATATTGGTTGAGAGTTCCGGGACACACTGTATTTATTGTCATGCGGGTTGTGTCAACTGTCCCAACGCCACTGGTGAAGGGGCTAAAGTACATTTTACTTATTTGTAGGCCTATACCTTCATGATTTTTACTGAAGTGTACTGGAATTTTGACTGCTATATCCAAGATTAGTAGTAAAAGAAAAGAGTTTTGAAGGGTTCTAAAATGTAGAAAATGGCTATTATCACCCAAACCGCCTATAACAATGCATCACTTGGTTCTGTGTACTACACGGTGAACGTGGAATGGAGTACAGAGTTAGTGTGAGTACTGACCTTGAGTTGTCCTCTGCAGGCCCCCTGAGAGTCGTCAATACTGAGCCAGGTGGACAGACAAGGCAGGCCAGAGCGCAGGATGGCTACAGAGGTAGAGGCTCGTCCAACACACAAGCTCAGCTGTTCTTCAAACACACTAAACACTAGCCGCTTTTCCTCCTGTAATGGTGTAAATATACTGAATGAGTAATAATTGTGTATTTATTACTTCACTATACGCTGGGTTTACACGATGCCAGTAGTTCAGACCAGTGCCAGATTTAGGGCACCTGCGGCCCTAGGCCAAATTACTTGAGCGGCCCCCACCCCTATGGGGTAAATTCCTAGCGATTGCAGAAACTAAATCGTGAACATCATCCATGGGCTGCAATCACAGAGATCATCATCGACACCCATATTGTCAGAAGACAACTGACTGACATGACATTATTATGTTTAAACACTTCAGAAATATTGACCACTAATGTTCTAATTAATCTAATATTCATGTTTATGTTGGTGTGAGAAGTTTAATTTATTTTTTTTTTGTTGGTTGTTTGTGAAAAATTATGTTGCATTGGGTTTTAAGATTATCAGTCACATTCACATATTTATGTTATGTCACGGTCAGGAGTCTATCTCTTTCAGTTTTGATTACACACTTAAAATTTTAGTATTATGTGTATTTTTTGTAACCTTGACCTTTGTAACCAGCTAAGTAAAAAATTTTTGCGTTTAGGTTTTGAGATTCGAGATTAGATTTTTTAAAGTTTCGGTTTTGGTTTTGAGATTCAAAATTTCTGGTTTTGACCATCAGTAATAAAAACCAACAATGTTTTTTGCATAGTTCATTGGATTTGTCATGATAAAATGAGGGTCAATGTGTTACCATGAGAACTATGGTAATAGCTCATTTCCTATATGAGAAATTCATTAAAATTATGGTCATTTGTTGGATCGAGGGCCAGTATAGTTTATGACAAATGGGAAGTTAAAAGCTCGAGAAACATGAAAAAAATATAGGCCTACATGCACTAAAAAAGTGGGTACGGTATTTATTACCTGCAGCAGGTATCTATGATTTTTAGTACTTAACCAACAGTTTTTATAGGTTTTCTGGAGGACCAATACAAAAAATTAAATAATAATGGGCCAAATGTTTAGTGCAAAAACTATAAGTTTTACTTTTAAATTTTTCATTTAATTTCATATCTACATATATCTATATAGGCCTAATAAATACTCCAACACAACATTTGTCAGTTGAACTACTACCCCATTTCTTAACCGATTTTGACCATTCACATCTCAGTGGAAGAGCGTGTCAGGTAGATGTGCAAACTGATCTTAAATTTGTGAAAAAGTCCCTTGGGCTTTGCCCCACTGGCTTTTGCAGTTCCCATTTTATCCTTATGAAGAACATGTTTGTTTACATTATGATCAGCTGGATAATTTAATTGCTGTTAATATTTATTTTGCAATTCAAGGATCGGCTGAAATATTGATAGTTTACAAAAAATTACCAAAGGTTAAACTGATAATGAGAATTATATTCAACATTCATCAAGAGCTGTGCTTTTGTCCAGCTGATGTTTTAAAAGCAATTTACGCCATAGTTGCTTAAATCACAAGAAGAAATTTAAGATACAAGCCTTAAAAACTTCTAAGGGTGCCGTTAATACTATTTACGCGAGTTGCATACACTACTTTAGCCATGGCAGTTTTTTATTAACTAACAATCACAACTCATAACTTCTTAGAGAGGTTATATTTTTGTGTACAACCTCTCATTGCCACTGTCAGTGACGTAACAACTCATTGTACCAACCACTAATTGCACTCACTCATAATTAAATTGGTCAAAACCGCTGATTAGTTGAAGTTTGAAGCAGTCAAAGAAGTCAAACAATGCTGTTAAGTAAGTAAAAAATGCTGTTAAGTGAATCTTTCAATTCTAAGAACTGAACTGAAACGGCTACAGTAGGCCTAGTTAAAAAACCATTGTAGGTAAAATCTGTTAAATTATGATTACTTACTTAGCATGTTATAAATTAAGTTTAGTGTTCAATTTACAAATGACCTAAAGCATATGACAGAATCCAAATTAGCCTAGAAAAAAAAAAAAAAAACATGATAAACCGTGTTAAAATAGATTATTTTATTTAGCCTATATCTAGTAGTTGCAACAGAACAATGTTAAAAAAACGAGTACACAAAACACTTAACCAATCACAAATATATGTTGCAGGCATGCACACTCTAGACATTTAAGTAGCTAACCTTCTGTAGGTATTCCACTGGAAGGTCTACGTCCCAGGACAGGTTCCAGATGGGGTTGTGGTTTCTTCTGACAACAGGAGTAGTGAATCTCGGTCCAGCACAAACAAGTCCTCCAGTCCCACAGTTCTGTTCACAACAATCGCCAATCCCGAAAGAAACCCAACTGCTAGGAGGTACTTTCCCCTTCTTGCCATTAGACGGAGCTTTAACAGCCTTTAAATTAACTGCCCGGTCAATTTTAATCATCGCTTTAAAAGTCTTTGGTTTTGTCTTCTCAGGCTTGGGTATATTTTTGTCGAGAGACTCATTGGAAACATAATTGGCAACATCCTTTTCTTCCTTGAAGAATCCAGTAATGGTGTCCGAGACGCTTTTGTCACTGGTTGATTCAGAAAAAGCTTTCCCTCCAGTGTGAGCGACTGTGTTCAGTGTGTCTTTGAAATCAGCAGGAGGGCCTAATATAAATGGCAAACTTTCCATCGAACTGTTTGAACTCAATGGTGAGTGAAAGGATAGAAAATCATCAAGATCACCGTTCAAAGAGCTATTGATTTTCTTAGAGCCAGTGACAATACTGCTCACTTCCGCAAGCCCTCTTTGTTTTTCTTTCAACAATTCACTTTGAAGTCGGTTAAACCTATGTTCAATACTTTCAGCAAGAATGTCTAAATCTTCCTTCATAACTGGTCGAGAAGAACTCACTTGATCTCTTTCTTTTGCTGAGTCAACTTTGTTATTTGACATTACAGTATTGTTTACAGGATTATCCAACAAACCTTTGTCTTGAGATTTCTGCAAACAATGATTATCCGTATTAAAAGGACCGATCCAAAATCTATTCTTCTGTATTGCTAGTTCTGTATTGGGTTCTCTAAGAGCGTCAGGACATGTGGCAGATATTCTATCTAGCAGTGCGCTGATAGGCTTCAGTTCGTGATGTGATGCATGTCGATCCCCTTCTCTGCCTTTACTCTCCACATTGGCTTGAAGCTCCCTGGTTTGTACCGGGGTGGGAGGAGCTATGAAGTTAGAGTATGTGACGGAGACTCGCAGTGTTCCTGACGGACACTTCTGGTAAGGAGACGTTACGGATGATGGCACCAGAGCTAGGGGCAGCTCTAAAACCTTGGTGATGGCGATCTCTTGTTGTCTCTCATCAAACTCCAACTCCATCAGGCACAAGTCATCCATCGGCAACAGGGCCTGTCACAACAAGTATTAGTCATTACACTAAAAGTTACCAAGGAAAATTGTAAAAGATTTTATATTGCAAAGTTATTTTTATTTTTATATTACAAGCAAAAACATTCAACAGAAAAAAAAAACGTAAGTACACACAAAGCCTGAAATAGCACACACATATCAATCTGATTGTCACCCTACAGACACTTTTAGTTTTCAAGTAAAGATGACTAAGAAAGTGTCAAAACAAATCATTTGCAACTTGCAACACATTTACTCAGAACGTATTGTAGCCAGAAATGCCTGGATGGACTCAGCAGTGAGAATAATAACAGGTTATTCATGATTTTAAAAAATAATTAATTTTAAAAGGAGATTAGCAGCAGTGTGAACCAGATAACCTCAAGACAACAAGGCATAGTATTATCTGATATTGAGTTCATGAGCTGCAGATGAACCTCTCTTAACCTAAATGGAGGGGAGTTCGTTTTTGATAACCAAATTTCAGTTACAAAGTTACCCCATTTTTTTCAGTGGTGTTGAAAATCAGGTAATAAACTGAAGTACATGTTGGTTGAGGTTATATAACACTTTATATAAACTTTAAGGCCCAATATATACATGTAGATATATTATATCAACCCACTACTTCCAATAACACTCCATCTTTAGGTGCACAGTGTTACACTAATAAACTATAGGTAGTCTTGTTTCACTTTAAAAAGTCTTTATTTGCATGGTGTCAGGCATTATGTAATTATTAAACATAGAAAAACAGGTTGGAAACACGATAATACGTGAAAAAATAGAGCACGTGCACGGCTTAAAAACTGACGACCGACTGTTCAATCCTGGTCACAGCGGGAGTTACGTGGATGACTGGAATAGCTGATAACACGGTGTATCAACTTATCTACTCAAATTATTTCTTATCTTGTTCGATTTGGATCATTTTCAAAAAAATTGGATTGGCTGCTGAAGAGAAAAGCTAACAATAAAATTGACAAAGATGACAAAAAATAAGTCACATTAGAGTTCTATACTCTGAACCAACGATTAGCAACCCGTCCATTAAGTAGGCACAATTATTCAGTAGCTTACAGAACCAGCACCAGCCTTCAACCTAAGCTGTCAGCTCCATGACACAGGAACACATCATTATTGGAAAAGCCAGGTGTTTACAAGGTAAAGTGTGGAGAGTGTGATTCGTATTATATTGGACAGAGTGGTAGGTGCTTTAAGACCACTGTCATCACTTTTTAAGCTGTGCACGAGCTCTCAATGTTTTCGTATATTATCGTGCGTCCGTCCTGTTTTTCTATGTTTAATATTTACTTAACCCCTGGTGTTATGCAAATGAAGACTTTTCATGTAACAAGAACATAATTTAGTGTACCACTACGCACCTGAAGATGGAGTTATCTCCGAAACGGTCATAGTGCAGTATCGCCCCTGATTCAGTCTATGCTTACTGTCTACAGACATTAAGAACAAAATAATATTATTATATTTTCACGCAATCTGCCACACTGAAGAATTATCAGTTAGAAGTGTTGGAAGAGGTTCTACTGTAGGCCCATTTTTTCAGTTTCCAATTTGATACCGGTAATGGATTTGTGGATTGTTTACTCAAGTGTTCAATGATACACCTAGCTATAAAACTGAGTTACCATGGCAACCATGTGGTCGCGAGGGGTTGGCTTGTAGTAGCGCAGCCACAGTCGCAGGGTGACGCCAGAGCTACAGGCCGTCAGCAAAGGAGACAGAGGTAGCATGACAGGGAGCACCAGGGAGTGACGATGCACAGACGCCAGGCAGGGCTGTGTCTCCACGGCAACCACTCGACTGGTTGTCTCCGAGCGGCTCATCTCAACTGGGATTATTGCAATTATTTGAGACATTTTTTATTAGAGGGAGTTTTCCCATACAAATTCTCCTTGCCTAAGAAATTTCCTAAAATTCACTTAACACTTAAGTTGGGCTCTGAATCAAAGAGATATAATATTAGCACATAGTTATTACACACACATAGGCATTGGAGGTTGATTTTTACAATGGTTTGTGGATTCAAACATTTTTTATTTAGTTCGCCTTGATTAGTTTAGGCCGGAATGAATGTTCGGGCTCAGCTTGGGTCAGGTAAGTTATATTAGAGGTGTGTGAGCGGCCAATGTTGATTGCCAAAAGTATTTCTGTTGAATACAAGAACTTGTTTACCAATTCAAACCTGTGGAACAACTTTTATTGTGAGCTATAGCAACTCTCAAGACCCATCAACTATGACAGTGACAACGTATAAGGTACGAAGAAAATCAAATAAAATTTTAGACACTGTCACATTCTGTGACCGGCTCACACAACTAAGTTCTTTTTTAGTAAAAAGTTGGCGACAGCTGGTCCATATAGATAGTGCCCATGTATATTTCAGTATCCAATAGTCAATAGTAACACTAAGTACTACAAAATAAATTGTTTTATTCGCATAGTTCTAACCTTTTGACTGGTGGTTACTTCCAATAAAAAATAATGTTGGGACAAATGGGACTATCCATATACATTTGTTCATTACATATTAAGTTAAATATCAGTAAAGAATTTGTATTGAATATAGTTAATTAAATAATTACCTTTGAACCCAGGTGTAATTTGAGGAAACTTATAGTCAATGTAGCAACTTAGTTCCTCTTGACCATCAGCAAACAGCGGGAATCCCTTCACACTGTCAATACCTAACAGGAATTCATGGTGGCGCCTTTCTTTGTAGGTAAAGTTTTTAGGAATATTTATTTCAAAGTTAGGTCTAGACAGGCTTTGATGTTGTCCCAGTAAACTTGAACAGCTGATACACAAGGAGGTGTCATCAGGAGTCTGCAGATTGGGCAGAATCATGTTCTGTCCGCAGTTAGTACATGCTGGTATTTTAACACAGCTGGACATTGGAGCCTTAGGCGGTTGAATATTGTGGTTATCCTTGTGATTCCTTACTGTTGAAGTCTCCACAACTGATACAGTTTTACCCTCCAAGTCTTTCATATTGAGCCGAGGAGTCTCTTTGGATCGAAAAGTTATGTCACGTTCTGTTTCATTTGGTGTTTTCACAGTGGGAACATCATGTGGGGATTCATCTAGAAATAAAACATAAAATTGAACCAGTGATTCAAATCAAAATAGAGACCTACTGTTTGTTTGAAGGATATTGTTTAATGTTAGTATGGTTTTTGTTGGCAGCAGCTAGATTACTTAAATAGATGCACACTGAGATGAGGACAATACTTTTTGAATGAAACAATAAAACACAAGGAAACAAGAAGCTTGACCTTAATTCTATTTTATAAGCTGAATTTGGTTAGTAGAGGATTATATGCAAAGATAAGGTTATTCTTGTACATCATGCTGCCAGAAAAAAATCAAAACATCTCTTGAGTTTAAAAGTTACACATCTTTTACATTAATTAAATAGTGTAGGGTATCAGAGGCAGTCAAGACAATTTTAATGACAGGTAAGGCTCTTGGAATTATGAAGAACTAAGAAAACAATTTTGGCACACTCTATAATTTGACTAAAATATTAAAACATTCGTTGCATTTGCAAAACTTGACCTCAGTAGTATAAAGCCGATTAATACTCACAATACATATTTGATATTTCCCAAACCAAAGAATCACAATTATATTCAACATACCTAAAAGATCATTGCCATAGTACAGCTTATCTTTGCCAAGCTGAAGCTTGATCTTGATGTGGCCAACGACGGTGACATTGTCAGAGATCACTGGAAGTGTATCCTCCATCTCCACACTCCCCGGTGGCAGGGGTGCCAACCTGAAGGTGCCAAGCAGTGCTGGCACTCGCTGGTGCAAGTGCCGCCAACACACCAGACAGTTGGCGTCTTCCAGCTCCTGCAGAGTGTGTGGTGGCTTCAGAGAATGTGCTGAACTCTGTCCGAAGTACACCACTGCAACGTAGAGTGGAATATAGATGACAGTAGTGATGTGCTAAGGCTGAGTTTTTTATTTAACAAAATCACGAGAAAAGATTTTAATTTACTGAGGGTTGGATCAATTGGATTTCAAAATCTAACGTGAGTTCAAACTTAGTTTAATAAATGTTGGATTTGGTCACCAGTAAATGCAGCGTTAAACTTAGTACCTATCATAAAACATAAATCTGCTGCAATTTGCATTCATCACGATGTTGTGCTGACTATATCTCTTAATGTAGAGATAATTTTCAAAGAATCAAGAACCAAGAATTTATTCACCATTAAATATACAGTATACAATAAGGTGTCGTCAAAGTGTTAACACAAATCAATAGATGATGTCTTGAGGGTCACAGCTCAGGTACTCTTCAGCTCTTCAACTCTTCGGGCACTCTACTTTTCATTATCATCATTACCTAAGGTCATGAAAGCATTGACGTCCATAATCACGATAAAATTTCCAGTATCTCCCTCAGTAACAGAAACGCCATCACCATCGTCTCTCCCGATCACGGCAAAATCCTGAATATCTCCTGCTTTGCAGATATTATCGCATCTTAGGTCATGGAAAAGTCATCGGCAAAATCCTAGACATCTCCCACCATTTGTAGACATTATCATCATCTCCTGCGGTCATGGAACAGTCACCATACTCTTGCATGGTCGCGGCAAAATCCTGAACATCTCCCGCAGTCGTGAACACATTACCATTGTTTCTCGCAAATACGGAAACAGTATCAACGTCGTCCGCAATCACGGCAAAAGCATGCATTTTTTTATCGCAGAACTTAACAACCCTGTTTTATGACCGTGATTGTAAAAGCTTGGCTCAAGCTTGATTTGCTAACTTAGTGCTCGATCTCTCAGCTCGAATATCGAGCCGCTCGCACACATCTACTAATAACACATGCAAAGTGCATTTTACATTTTAGGAGATTATGATTTATCTTAAAATGGAAATAGAAATGTTTAAGAAAGTCTAGTAAGTTGAGTACCTATCGGGTTTTGCTACCTACTATATTGCTATATCAACTAGTCCTTAACATTTTCAAACTGGCATAAAAAAATTTCCAAAGTTTTTGAACTTCTCAGAAAAGAACAGACTGTTGTTTTTAGGTTACACTGAAAAAAATAATTTAAAACTATCGTAAATCAATATTTACCATCTTGGATTTGCCTTCGGGAACAGAACCTGAGAGGGGAGGCCTTCCAGCTTTGAGCCTGGGACCTGGGGGAGTCTTCAACAAACTGACACTCGACAAAGTAAGTGGCTCCAGGGGGTGGCACCAGGTCACCTGGACAAACATCGTGTAACTACAGATGATTATCACGTAAATACAAGTATCATGTAGGCCCAATATTCAACCAATGTAACAAAATTTAACAATAAACTATAAGGTTATAATGAATGGACCCATGCACAGTTTGATCAGGGCCCAGAACTTGTTACGAGGCAAAATGAATCCAATTCAATACCCTTTTCCCTTTATTCCCTTATCACTACAATACCAGATGCTTGCTCCTGTGATGTGTACTATGATGGTACTTCACAATTAATAGGCACTTACATAAAAACTCAAGAGACTATATAGAAACTAGCAGCTGAGTTTTAAAAGATTGTTTATAATTATAATCTTGACTTACCGTTCTTGTTTTTGTTGTCAACAGCTTGATTTATCTTCTTCCAGCCAGCTGGAGTAAGAGTCAGGCTGTCTACAGTGATTCGGAAACAGTTGATCTTCTTCATCAAATCTCTCACATTTTTCCCTGCAACTTAAGTATTAGAAAACAGTGAAAATTTAAAACGTTCTTTAAATATGTTGGTACAAAGATTTATGCTAACTTTGATCATCCCACACAACTGAAGAATTTGTATTAGGATAAAAAGATGTTTTAAATATACTGAATACCCTCAGGAAAGGCATTTGAATTATGAATAGCCTAGATGTAAGATATTTTTCTCCACAGGGCAATTTAGGACTTTAAACTGTTAAAGCCCAGGTTCTTACCTTAACTGAGATTATATGAACTAGTCTTTTGTCTAATAGTGACAACATTGCTTTCATTGGTCTACCTAGTGATTTTAACACATATTTGGATATACTTTTGATCCTAAATGATCTCTAATAATTTATTCTTGAAGCTATCTGGATTTTTCTTTAACAGGTTTCAAACCTTGTAGAAAAAATATGTACAAACAACCAAACCACACAGTTTGTCAACTCTCCATATTTGCATAAGTAAGCCTACCCCTCACAACATAGTCAGTACAAAACTAAGACCTGAGGATGATTGGGCATGTAGGCCTATCGCTTTATTTTACCCTCCTTCATTTTTGTAGTTGCAGGATTTGGCGGTCAGAAAAAATCCAGAAAGCAAAAGACAATCAGAAAAAGTTATATATCCATGTAGATATAGTGGAAAATCATTATTTCACAGCAATCGTGGGAGACGATGATGTAGTCTCCTTTACCGCGAAAGATGTTAACGATTTCTCCACTACCACATAAGACGTTCAGATTGATTTTGCCACAGTCGCAGAAGTCAAAAATTATCTCTCTCAACAAAGAAGGTATAGACGATTTCACTGCGATCCTAGTAGATGATGAAGATGCCTCCACGATCGCAAATAAAATATTCACCATTTTGCCATGAACGTGAGATATTTATGTGACCAAGGACAATGCCGTTCATTTTCAATTTAGTTTGTTTGTGAGTTTGCCGTGACCTTATTTTGGCCTAGGACCTTAAGGCTGACATTTTTTACTTAATCTGAAGTAAAAAGGTCTTACAGATCCGAAATATTATCATCAACAAATAAAATGATTTATTAGGTAGTCTCCTGGTTCTGTGCCAATCGGATCATCAAAAACCAAGGGTTGAGTTTATCTTGTCGAAGCATTACCGCATGTATTTCTAAACCCCGAGCCTCGGCGACCAGCCTAATCCGAATAGAGAGGCCACTCTGCCGGTGCCTCATAGATTGTAAATACGGCCCTGTCCTTCAGTTTCCTTATTTTTAAGGTTGACAGCATTTCCAGAACACAAAACAAAACTGTGCAGTCGGTTCATATAAAAATCAATAAAAACTGACCAGTAAGAGAATTGATGCCAATGTTGCTGGTGCCCGCTGGATGACCAAAGGTAGATGGCGGGCAGCTGGTATTTGCAGAGTTACAGTTATCCTGAAACCATAAGCAGAACTAAAGAATCTCCTTGAGAAAAAAAATCTTAACAGCTTTGAAATACAGGGTGGCCAACAAAAAGGTTCAAACCTTTTTTTAAGAGGTTGTTGGTCTCTTTTAACCTTGCATTTGCCTGTCCACATAGACTACAGATCTGTGTGTGGAATGTATCCAGCAAAGCAAGGGGTTAGCCGGTACAGTACGAAGGTGAATTGTACTGATAAATTTTAGTGGATCCGAACCCACGACAACACTGTCTTGGGCCCGAAGTCTGTGATGCTACCAACTGAGCCACCGACTCACCATAAGACCGATTCAGTTTGATTTTATATTCCCTACTTTACAAATTGTAAAGAGTTGATAAAAAAAATATTCAGGAAAAATTCAAATTTCCGCTCCCTTAGAAACAAAATGGTGGCATATTGCAAATTTTATTTCAGAAGACCTAATTACAACAAATGGGCAGATTTTCATTGAAAAATCAGGGAGCAGGGCTAATAGTAAGCTATTTTATCAAAACATAAATAAAAACTGGTAAATAAGGAGTAAGAGTAGATGCATAGCAGAGCTATTTTTGTATTATAAAAATAAAAACCAAGAGCCACAAGCTGTTAAATAGGCTAATTTATGGTTTTAATTGTTGCAGAACAGCAACCAACTTTTTTAAATTGATGCAATCTTAAAAAAAAAGAAAATAGTTGATTGAATGAGTTTGTTGCAGATTAATTAATTATTAGCTTAAAATATTATGATTCTAAGCTTTAGAACTTATTTAATTATGTAGAACATTATGTAAAACATATTTTAAAATTCATTTTCAAATTAACTAAAAGCAAACCTGATTTTGAAGATCATTTGTAACAACTGAATTCCCGTGAAGATTTTCCGAATGGAGTGTGGCTAAAACAAGCTTTTCTTCTTCTTCTTTCATAACTTTACCTAAGCAAAACAGGCCAGTTTACAACATTGCAACACTACAAAAACAATCATCTTTGTATATTTTAACCTATATCATGATTATAGGCAGGAAAGTGAACACATGGCGTTTGGAAAGCAAACAAATAGTAGCCTAAAGGACAATCCTGATTGATGGTAGCTAGGCCTAACTATGATTAACTTAATTGTTTAAGTTAGTTGATAAAATTATTCAACGGATGAATATCACCTTAATTAAAAAATCAATCATTGACTTTAGAAACCACTTTGTATAAAACACCTGGTCCAGTTGAAGCATTCGTTTCCTGAACAAAGCTTTTTTGCTGGCTCCTCTCGATTTTGTTGTCAACATCAGATCTTATCGATTTGACCAGACCCACTCGTCATGACATGACCCAGTAAGTGGTGGCATCTTACAACAACTCAAACCAAGATTGCATATATCACAATGTCCATTATTTGCTAATCTTTAACAGCTGGCTTGATGGTAGTGAGTGCGACAGAGACAGTATTGTTTTCAAACCTAAAAACTATGAAAGGTCATAAACCCTTTAGAGAACCATTTACCGTTGTTAATATATACCTTAAATTCCAGCCCCTAGATTTTTGAATTCTATTTTGATCATGAAATTATGAATCTAATCATGATTAGAACTAACACCTATGCCGAACAGCAAAGGACAGGTTGTGGGACAGTTTGGCTCGATTTGGAGAAACCTAGGTACCGGTACTGTAGAAGTGCCTAATCTCAATTTTTTTAAATCATAAGTCATTATTTTTTTTTGTTAAAATACCTGAATTTGAGCTTCAATCTAGATAAGCAGGTTTAAACTTTACTCACCCTCCAAATAGTTGCTGATTAACTTCTCTTCATGAGGTGTTACTAACTCTCCACTCTTAGTGCTACTGCTTGATTTGTAAGCGGTTTTGTTGTATTTTTCATCATTGTTGTCAAGTTTTAAAAGTAATTCGTCATGTATATCAACAGGATAGTCTGAATCCTCCAAGACACTTAAAACCATTGCATCTCGTAGCTTTTTTCCCTTCTCAAGAACATCTAGCAGTACATAATCGGAAGCTTCGGACCTCCCTGTGTTTGGAGGTGCCTGATTGGTCTTCGGTGATTCAGGCATATCAAAATTTACAAATTTTTCTTTAGAAGAGTCTTTGGGAATATTAATATGAGTGGGGCAAGTCTTGTAGCCCTTTTTGAATTGTTTGGATTTTTCTTCTTCAATTGTTGATCTAGACGAATTAATGCCGGTCTTTGATTTTTTGCGAGATCTTTTCCTAGTTTTCTTGGATGTTTCTTCAGATGACGCGTTCATGGATAGTTCAAAATCAACTCGTAAGTCACCAATTCTTTTGCCTGAAGATGTTACGATTGGGAAATACTTCTGCAATTGTATCTTAGTTATGTGGTCAAGTAAGTTACTTATTTCAACATGACCAACAATCTCTTTGTTTTCATCATTCACAACCAGAAGTTTCAATTTATTACACTGTTTTAAATAAGTCTCAAAGAGAGATATATTTGTTTGGATGTTGTATTGAACAGTATTGTTGCTCTTTACTGACTCGGGATACTTTGAAATGTCAGCAGGTCTGAAACAAACAAAATGTTAACTAAACATTTGGGCCAAAACAAACATTAGCTCAACCTTGGAAAAAAGGGAAGGTTCCGTATTAAAGATTTGTATTAGGGAGATATATAAAAATAAAAAAGGTGTAGGCCTATGAGGTTGTTACCAGTATCTATAATCATTAGAAATATGCAACTTAAAAGTCCATTTCACCTCCTCTCAGTTAAGGGTTGGTTGGCAACTGACAATTATCACTCTATGCTAGAGCGCTAAGGGTTGCACTTTAGTTCACGCTCCACATTTACTATTTTAAGTTAAAACTTAGCCTAGGTACATTAAATACCAGCTGATTATAACTGTTCTTAACTAACCTAACGTAACCAAACATGCTGTAATTTCATGTCAGTAAATTGTGGGGCGTAAACTTAAATGCAGCTGAGTTAAGTTATAGGCCTACAATATAACCCCTCATATAAGACCACCATGGGACTAAGCCCCTGACCCAACTGCTTTGGAAATAATTAACTAACCGTTCAGAGGTTAGGTACTAAGTTGGCTCAACTGAATAATGTCACACTAAAGTTAACCCTAGATCTGGCGGTCATTTTATTCACCAGTGGCGGGTATATTTTGGCCCTTTGTAGAGGTATCATATACCAAATATCGGAAAGACAGTGGTAAGGCTATATGTACTTGAATTCTAACATTTCTGAATATTAATTTACACCAGAATGTAACATAATTTTTATGACATACCTACCTATATAATAATATTGTGTAGCCTAGCCAACAATTTAATTGTGGATCTCAAAAAACAGCTGCTTTTGTAGTCAGGTGACCAAAACTTTCCACCACCAAAATCTATTTGGAGAACGCTCTAGTTTTTCAAACTATGTTTGAAACTATGTTGTTAGCTTAACCATTTTACCAGACAAAACACTTTTCTCCGTCCAAACCAATGTAATTTTATGACCACAATTAATAACTTTAGTGAATTTGGCAAAAGATTGTATAATATGTTACCTGCTCACATTAAATGTCTTGAAATACGACAATTTAAATTTACTATTAGAAAGATTTTGTGTGATTTATGTGTGTATAAGGTCAAAGAATTTGTAGAACATATTAAGTAGGTTAATGCATATACTGTGATGTAATTGTATGACGTTGCTATACATGTATTTTAGTGTTGATGGCAATAAATGGATTTGATTTGATTTGATTTGATTTCTCACTACATAATACTCGCTCAATAGGCTAATGTTTTATACATGAAAATGAATCCTCAGAATCTCATCTTTCGAATGGTATAATATTCATTGCAAAACCGGTTTTCATAATTTAATAATAGAAAAGCTCGACCCATGTCGTTTTGGTCGATAATCGACTAGTGCCACTGAGGATTCTCATTTTAGTGGTCGATAATCGACCAGCGCCAGATCTAGGGTTAAGGTCAACTGTAAACAAACAGATAACTTAAATAGTGAGAGCGCTTAGCCTGTGTCACGAAGATTGCTTGCAGGTGTCTGTGAGCAGTGAGAAAAACATTTTGATATTGGCTTCCTGGAATGGGCCGGATAAACAGAGGGCAGAAATAATGTGTGACAAACACACAACTTAATTCCATAACAATCATAACTTAGCCTTACCTAACTTAGGCTATTACATAAAATCCCTTATGCCTAGCCTAGGACTCCCTATCACTAGCTTAACTTTTATGGTCTACATTTAAAGTTTGTTGGAAAGGTATTTGCATGTTTTTTAGATGGAATAACCTATACAGCCATATTAATGTCCAATAATCGACCTGTATAAAACTACATTCAAATGAGCCAAAGCCTGGGCCATAACTTGAATTAGGCCTAGCCTTAGATTCCTTGCTTTAAGTAAGATAGACCTAACTTATGCCAAGCTAAATAACTTAGTTACCTGAATGTTACTGAATCTACGTCTCCCCACCATTGTAAAACAACAATCACTTCGTTTGTTAACTTGCTACACCACAGAATTTCATCAATTCTCACCGATAAACGCCCATAAGAGTTTCCTTCTATGAGAGGAGGTAGGGACCTAGGGCTCCGGTCTGTCATCTTACTTTCAACGTTAACTCGATTAGAATAAAAATATACTTTAGATCTGACATTTTTAAGATATCCAAACAAATTAAAACAACATGAGCATTTTACTTACATAACTTTGACTGAAAAAGATTAACCTTATAACTGAATTTTGACAGGACAAAACTCCATTGTCTAACTCCAAGACCTATTTTGTTTTTTGTTTTTGTTGTTGATTTTGTGATGGTATGGTGAGCTCTTGTTCTGTTCCGTTGTTCTTCATTGGTTTTGACCATGCAAACTGATGCTCTGTTCTGTTGGCTTTTGGATTCAGAATACGGCCAACTAAAACGAAAACATACTACAAGAAAGTATTTGTAAAATTATTATAACTAGGAGTAAAATGCAGTTGTCTGCTTGCAATATTGCGTCTATTACTCAACAGTCAATCAACCACAAATTTATTGCAATGGTACTGCACCTAGACCAGACCTAAGTGTGGTTCGTACAAATGGAATGACGTCTATTTTTGTAGTATGCAAGCTGTATTGTCAAAGGATGCATAGGCTCTAACTGGTCATTCATTTTGTATTACTGGTGTATAATACACTCAAAGATGTATTTTGATCCGTATTTGAAATATGCTTCCTTGAATTTTTGGTCTCGCTAACTGCTAACAGCAACCAGTGTAACCAAGGCAACGGTAGGCCTAGCCCCCATGACAACCGGAGTTATCAGGGTTAACCAAAAATACAAAGGGTACCATGATAACAGCACTAACCATGACAAAGGCGGTAGTTATGTCAAAATCGGCAACCAGGGTAACAGAGCCTAGAGGTAACCATGGCAACAGGGGTTATCATGGCAACGGGGATTACAGGTAACGGGAGTTACCATTGTGAGGGGGGACACCATGACAACGGCAGTACTGTAACCATCACATCAGTGTAACCATGGCAGCGGCGGTAACAAGGGCAACAGAGGGTAATAATGGTAACAAGGGTTACCATGGCAACGGCGGTAACCATGGTAATAGGGGTTACTATGGCAAGGACGGTAACCATGGTGACAGGAGTAACCATTGCAGCAGTGGTAACCATGGTAACAGGGTTAACCATGACTACGGGGGTTACCGTGATAACAGCACTATAACCATTGCAAAGGCAGTAGCCATGGCAACAGAGGCAACCAGGGTAAAAGAGGTAACCACGAGAACAGTGATTGCCACGGCAACGGCAGTAACCATGGTCACAGGGGATACAATGGCAACGGGGGTACCATGGCAACGGTGGTAAACCAAGCAACAGAGGTAACTATGACAACATATGTAACCATGGCAACATGGGTAACTATGGCAACATGGGTTTCCACGGTGATGGTAACGGGAGTTACCATTGTGAGGGGGGACACCATGACAACGGCAGTACTGTAACCATCACATCAGTGTAACCATGGCACCGGTGGTAACAAGGGCAACAGAGGGTAATAATGGTAACAAGGGTCACCATGGCAACGGCGGTAATGATGGTAATAGGGGTTACTATGGCAAGGACGGTAACCATGGTGACAGGAGTAACCATTGCAGCAGTGGTAACCATGGTAACAGGGTTAACCATGACTACGGGGGTTACCGTGATAACAGCACTATAACCATTGCAAAGGCAGTAGCCATGGCAACAGAGGCAACCAGGGTAAAAGAGGTAACCACGAGAACAGTGATTGCCACGGCAACGGCAGTAACCATGGTCACAGGGGATACAATGGCAACGGTGGTACCATGGCAACGGTGGTAAACCAAGCAACAGAGGTAACTATGACAACATATGTAACCATGGCAACATGGGTAACCATGGCAACATGGGTAACCATGGCAACATGGGTAACTATGGCAACATGGGTTTCCACGGTGATAGTGGTAATAGGGGTTACCAGTAAAAAGTGAAGTAATTCTTTTCTTTCTCATTGAGAAAAAAACACAACTTACGCTTACAGTTTAGGTGACTAACAGACTTTTCTTAACTACTTTTTATAATAACTAAAAATTTTTATAATACTTTTTTTAAGTAACTGTATAAAACTGTTTTAAATTCGCTATTCAATTAAAGAATTCCCATGTTTCTAAGTTGCTTTGTTATATATTTGTGTCCAAACTCTTGACCACCCGGTACTATTACATACATTAGTATTTCATTTCGTATGAAGTTCGTAGATGTTTCGTCATGTTGAAGTTTTAAGTTTATACTATGATTCTCGAGGGCAATCTTTATAAACTTTTCCTGGTAGATTTTCCAATTTTCAAAGAATGCACGAGGCTGACATTAAATGACTATGCGCTTTAAATTTAGGCAATTGATGGGAAGAGACTATCTTCTTGTTTTATATAAAACCAAAACCTTCTTGTAAGCATATTCGCATATTGAACTGAAGGTTTATTTATTTACATACAACTTAAACAATATGTGGCGGCTCGCTGAAGACGCCATTTGGTAAGTTATATACAAATTCACTGTATAGGCCTAACTTACAAAAGTAACATCAGACAATAGCTTACTGCACTTTTGGTGAGACACTCCTTTCAACTAATCACCCCAAGAAGATCAATCAAAACACAGCTGGAAATGTCATGGATGGATTGATAGCTTCTTAGATTAAAAGCTGCCCCAGAATAATTACGTGATATTATCAATAGTTTTGTGTTCCCAAAAAAATGCTTTAGGTTCTAATTCTAACAATCTAATGATACAAATCAACATACAAGAATAGAAATAACCAATACAAATCAATTATAATTTTTTTAAGAATCGAAGTATTGTATATAATATGTTTAGCCTATTATAGATTGTTAATCCTCCCTGTTATACAGTGTTATTTTGGCTCGTCCTATCCCCAAGGATGGGGAGTGAGCTGGCGTAGTGGTTATAGCACGGGACTGCAGTCCCTGAGGTCCCAGGTTCGATACCCGCCAAGCCACCAATGGATTTTATCGAAGTGATAATGCCGCAACCTCTAGGTCTAGCCTGAAGTAATGTGAAAAACACCCCAGGCTCGTGCCTAGCATCCTAGGAAAAAAACCCAAAGGATATATGTGCTTATTATCCATAAATATGGTATCGGGATGTTTTCAAATGGATTTCAAGTTTCACAAGAATCGAAGAATACAGGAAAAGGGAGCAAATTGAAGTGATCTTTGTGACTGGTATTTTGGATGGATTTAAATCATCTTTAGATTAATGTAATTTTGCTTAGTTTTGTGATTTAATACAATTTGATTGAATTATACTAAATATGCCTACAAAATTGCAACAAGAACATTTTTTCTACATTTTTTTTGGTTTCCAAGGAATTAGTTTGAATTAAAGTATTAAAAAAAAACAAGTGTGTATGTGCAATTTATATAAGCTAACTAAAGGTTGTATGTATTTTTTTAAATTCGATAGTTCAACATTTTAATGAATAATATAATCTAAACAGCGACATCAAAGATCGATATGAAAATCGACAAAATATTGCGTTGAAAAGAGATATCTTTAAAATAAAGTAAACATGAATGGTATCATTACTGATACAATGGACTGTACTATCAGTGGTCTTTGCTTTGTCAGTCGAACGCCCAACAGAGGCTGTTAAATATCAGCCCACACAAACAATATTTATTTACTTGGTTAAACACACTGACTGAAACCCGAGCAAACATTTATATTTCGGCTCGCCTAATGTCCCGATCACAAATGTTTGATCGTGTTATCCGCTTACAGAAAAATTGTATATTTGGTGGTCAAACCACACATTGCAGTCTTTTTAACGCAAACACGATTCGGAGCTGGCATTTAGTAACGACAAACTGTTAGTTCGGCTGAACAGTTGTTGACAGTTCTGCGTTACTATTTGAATTACCTTGATTACCTATGATTACCTATCACCTCAAAGTGACTCTGTCAAGTTTATTAACAGTTTAAGCCCAAAGATTCAATTTTGAATGCTATGTTCCCACAGCCTATAATTGAAAATAAAATTTCTATTCAAACAGGGGTTCGGAAAGTCGGAGAACTATATTTTTGTAATTGTACTCAATTACATAATAAATAATAGGTTCTCTAAAAAATAAAGTAATTTACAGTGGAGAAGTATATTTTATATACTTATATAAAGGGGGAAATAGGAAAATGTTAGTAAAGAACTTTCAGCTCTTTTTAACGTTGTGGAGTTTCAATTCCTTGAGTTCTTCTAGATAATTCACTAGTACTTGTAAACACTTTAACTGATTTATTTAACCTTAAATTCACTAATCATGTGAGACGAAATATTATAACGTCTCAATAATTCTTTATTGAGACTCGGGTTTAAATCTATATATATATATATATATCAAGAGTTAATTGTCACTGGACGTTACGTTTATTTACGTTACTAAACTGTTTTGTTAAGCTTATGAATCAAAGCTAGTTCAGTTTGTTTTCATAACAAATAAACTAGCTTAACATTTAGCTTTGCCTCGAATTGACAAGAAGTGTTGATTCGTTGATTGAAGCGGAAATGTAAATATTTATCATGACAGTTTCGACAGCTCGTGATTGAAAAGGCGTCCATGCGTAAATGTTTGGTTGCTTACAATATTTGCTGTCAACTGCTAGTTTATTTTGTAAAAAAACTCAAACAAAAGGACACTGTGATAGCAATGATTTTATATAAATGATGTAATGTAATATTTTAACATTAGGGCGGTGAGTAACGTTGAACCAATATGCAATTGATACATGTGATGTTGGATAAAGATCCTTTCTTCTTCTAAGAGTCCTTGGAGCCTAAAAGTTCTAACTCGTAAAAATAAAGAACTACCAATTTCTAATCTTAAAAGTATACTAGATATTTATAGTGTTTGAATAAATATTTTTGGACGGTAAATAACTATTCAGCAGCTGATTGGAATGATCCAAGAAGGCCGCTAGCCTACAAGGACTCTAAGTTGTTTTACTTTGCAACGTCTGAGGAAAACAGTGATTGTGTGCTTAATTTATGCTCCCTCGGAAAATAGGAAACACTTATGGAAAACCACAGATTTCACAACACACTATTGACTTTGGATGCAGAAAATAGACAGACGCCCAAATATTTAGTAAAATTCGAGCTAACCGCAAAGTCTTGCAATACACTGCCTCACACTGAGATAATTTATTTTAACAGATATGTCATAAGTATAACAAAAGTAACTG